TTCACAGAGCGCGGCCGCTAAACTGTCCTGGTTGGGACCTGAAGGGAGTGAAGTTACTGCAGAGTTATGAAGACGCCAAAGACATTCACAGCTCCTGTGTGGGCCAGAAAGCTGTTGTAATCGGAGCCTCTTTCATAGGTTATCAGATTAAGTTTAAGCTTGTTTAAATTCTATATGAATATCCCATGATGTCATGCTTCTGAGATGACTTTGCCAGTTTTGCATGAACTGGTCTTTCAGCCTCAACTGTTGATGTTGTTGCACTTTTGTGTGAGCCAGAGATCAAACAAACCAAAGTCATAAGGAGTATGGTTTAGACCTGCTCTATTTGAAAAGTTTCCTGAGATAACTTTTGTTATGAATTGGCTCTATACAAATAAAACCGAATTGAATTGAATCTGCTAAGTCATGATGATGCATATACACCCGTAATTTGCAGGCTGAGCAAACGTTTTTTTACCTTCTACCAACCTTCGGCAATCTTAACAGAGCAGAATGAAACTTGGATTGTTCCTTTTTACAAAAACAAGCCTGCAGGTGTATTTGTTGTTTGATTATCAGGTTGATAATTTGGACGATGTCATTCTATAATTTTTTTTACCGTGCAAGATAAAGCTACTTTTAAACAAATGTAGTAACACCAGTATTGCCGACCACTGAAGTGTTTCTCTCATTAACACAACAGGTATGGAGGTGGCATCGTACTTATCAGACAAAGCTGCCAGTGTGGCCGTGGTTGGCACCAGCACATACCCGTACGAGCGATCTCTGGGGCCAGAGATCGGCAAAATGAGCATGCAAGTAAGAAACGATGATGACCGTAGTTTGTCACGGTCATTGCTCAGTGTGATGTTATTAGCTTTTATTAAATAAAACAAATTTTAATACTTTGTTTTCTCCTTGTAAGATGTTGGAGGAACAAAATGTAAAGTTCTATATGAATGATAAAGCCACTGAGATCAAAGGGGAGAACGGCAAGGTAACTCTACTTTTACTCTATTAGCATCAGCCTTTTTCACAGCAGACATTTGAACTAGTCACAGTGGGAAAAGCACAGGTGTTATTATATATATATATATATATATATTTTAACAATGGCTCTGTTGTGTTCAAGTGTCCCAGTAAGAAGTGACAGTGAGCAAACATGAACAACACCAGGCAGCTAAATGGCATTCAGCCATCATTCATTGTATTATTTACACCTGAGCTTTTCTTACTGTGACATCAAAATGTCAGAAATTGAAATTGTGCGGCTTCAGACATATTGTGTACTGATAGTGTATATCATCCAGTAATTAGTCTTTTCCTTTCAGGTGAAGGGGGTTGTGCTGAAGAGTGGTACCGTCCTGGAAGCTGATGTTGTGATTGCTGGAATTGGTAAATTTTTTATTTTACCTCAAAGTGTTAAAAGTGAGATATACACTTGTTATTAATGAACCGTAATAAACACAAACCAGTATTTCTATTGGAGTTTTAAATTATGACAACCATTGCATATTGATAAACTAAAACCGTCAGTCTACAGAAACCCTAAAGATTACAAGGGTTAGTACACAGTGGCCCTGCCTTTACCTCAGTCTCTTGCTTTAATGACCATTATCAACATTTTGTTTCAAAAACTCCATGAAGCTCCCCTAGATATTTTCAAAAACTAGTTTGTCCGACACTTCACAGCCCGTTCTCATTCCCAGGTCGTCTAATACAGACACATATTGATAGATCTTTAATATATTGATTCGTACTTGTTTGTTGACATTTTCCCATCCTGTAGCTATTGCTTTCTTAGAAACACATGCTCGGTCGCTCTTCTTAACAATAAAATCACTTGGATAAAAACCCAGAATGCATAGCTTTGGCAAACAATGGATGGATTTTCAGGTTTGTAATCCGGCTGATCATCTTATGAACCTCCTTCTAAGAACTTTTGACCACATTACATTCCCATTAGCAGTTAAAGGGTACTCTTTTTCCATTGTTACATTTGAATCTTAACATGCAGACAGTCTCATATGTGGACCACTGCTGCCTCACAAGTAATGGCTACTCAAACAGAGTCTTTCACATTCAGACTTTTTCTGTACAGTTCTACAAAAATCTGTCACAAAGATCTCTTTTTTTCAGGCGTAATCCCCAATTCAGACTTCTTGGCTGGAAGTGAGTTGGAAGTGGATTCAATGAAAGCTGTGATTGTTGACAAGGTAACACACAGTTCATGGAGGACATTGCCTACCGGCAAACTTTAATCACTGCGATATGATGATGTGACAAATGAAGCATAAATGTGGCTTTACATGCACAACTTAGTCTGATGGATACCGTTTAATTGCTTGTTTTTTAATTTTATTTTTGGCCAAACATTAATATTATATATTAGCCGAATCCTTCAGATAAATGTGTTCAGTCGACTGAAATGAATAGCTGTATATGTACTTTATATCAATGTCTTTATAAGCCTAATGTGGAGGCTCTTGCTGTTTATCTTCACTAACAGTTCATGAGGACCAATATACCAGATATTTTTAGTGCAGGAGATATTACTGCTTTCCCTCTGACCATTCGTGGAGACCAAAGGGTCAACATTGGCCACTGGCAAATGTCACAAGCTCAAGGTAAGAGACTGAAGGAGTCAAAGAAATACAGCCTTATATTGTGTTTGTTGGTTTCATGTCTCCAGATAAAGCTGCATTCTGTTAAGATATTTTGCATCATGCACCTTTTTTTTATCTAGTCAAGAACATTTTATGGGTGAAAATAATTCAATGCCTGGGTTCAACCTCATTGTTTCTTTTTGTTTTTCTCTTCAGGAAGAGTAGCTGCCCTAAACATGCTGAAGAAACCCACCAAAATTGAGTCTGTTCCTTTCTTCTGGACTGTGTTGCTTGGGAAGAGCATCAGATACACAGGTTTGAAAGGTTTATTAAGAAAATGTCAGCCTTTCATCAAAATATATCATTAAAAGTCTCATTTCCTCCTTTCATTTCCTCATTCCAGGCTACGGGGAAGGATACACAGAAATCATATTCAAAGGCAAAGTGGAAGAAAGGAAATTCCTGGCATTTTACATAAAGTAAGCAGCTGTGGAATAACTCCTGATACAGCTGAATATGAATTCCTGCAGTCTGTGCTGAATTTCTACTTTTGTTAACAGAGACGAGGTGGTGGTAGCTGCGGCCAGCCTGATGTTCGACCCTGCTGTGGCACATGTTGCAGAGCTGATGACTGCTGGCCAGATTTTAACAAAGACACAGGCTCAGTGAGTGTCATGCTGCATTCACACAAACTACACTATGTGTTTATACACTGTATGCACATTACATACATGAAATAATGATGAATTTATTTCTCACTGGGGAGTAAATGTCATTCTTATTGTTGCTGGTACTTAAATAAAAAAAAGCCAGATCCACAATAATGTGTTTAAATGCACCCATGCTCCTTAGTGGGTTCAGCTTTACTACCTGCAATAACTGATTTTGGCCACTTGAGGAAGCAGAAACAACATTATATGGTGAACCTGTCCAGGAGATTATGGAGCAACATTCATTAGGAGTCAATTTTGTGTCCAGTATTCACTCTTTTAGCTCTGTTTTGCTATTCACCAACTCTTCAGAGAAATATCTCTTTAGTCGCTAACTTTGTCTACCATTTTGTAAGGGGCAGGCAGTGTACAGTCAATTTTTAGAGCTTTTTCACTGAGAAGAGTTTCCTACTGTGTCCTAAAATGATGCATGAGAGTGGTGAAGGTGAACTAAAACAGTAAAAGTAAAATTATTGTCCATAAAGCCGAAACAATGAGCTCAAAGACGCTAAAACGCTTCCATGTTAAACGCTAGTTAATTTTCTGTGGGTCGTTCACTGAAAGCACTTTAGACGTCCACTATTGATCCACTGTTAATATGAAAGCAGCTTTAACTATGATACCGTAACCCAGTCACTCTGGTATAGACGTGTAGGCACTAAAAACAGTGATGATAAACCTCAGCAACATTAAAGTCATATAAACATCATACAGCGATACTATTAAGTTACTTTATGTTCCGTGTAAACATTATATCGCAAATCACAGGATGAGACTACTAACCTGTAAACTCCTCTTTGTTGAATATTTGCATTGTCACCTCATTATCTATTTAGAGCTGATGACCTGAGCTGGCTGCAGATGTAACCAGAGGCCTGCTGTGTCCAGGAGTAACCCACATTGACAAAGGATGATGCCTTTCTCTTTATTGTTCCTGCCTCCATCCAACTGCTCTCATATCTCCTTACATTTACCGCCTCTGAAAGCCAATCACACCTCTGCTCTTAATCACATCACTGTTACCAGAGCAGCAAGCAAAGCTTTACTGAATTAGCACTTTATGCTCTTAGTGAATAATCTGATCTGTGTAGTTGACTTGCAGCAGTTTCACATCCAAACATTTTTGTGAACTTTTAAGATTCTATAAACATTCAGTTTAATAGTATTTTGTAGTGTAGTTATATTACTATAATAATAGTAACATAATAGTATTTTTCATACTATTTTAATCACTGGAAACATTTTGACAATATGCACACTATCACACTTGTCTTAGTTACAATATATTTACAAGCAACTTTTTTTAAATACAAAGGTCAGTTAAAATACTGGTGAACCTGCTGATAATTAACAGTTTGTTTATTTTTCATTAACTTTTATTGTTTCATTCTTACCTTTAACTCACTTAAAATGTAGTCTGGATGCTCTGTGGCACATAACTAATTCTCAGGTATTAAACAAATATGTTTAAACACCACCGATCCTCCATATTATATGTTATTGTTGGCAGATTGTTTGATTGATTGATCCACTTGTTGTTCATTGTTTTAAATCTGGTCTATCTGACCCCTTTTCTATCAAACTGGCCTTTTGCAGACTATTGTAAGAGTTTATTTAACATTTGCAAGCAGGGCAGTCCAAATACTAATTTAATTTATGAATTATAAGTTTCATGTTGCACAATGACAACTGAATACAAGGTCTGTAAGATGCTTTTATTGTAATTTTTACACATAAGCATCAATATTTCATAGACAGTTAAAACAATTATCACTTTGTAAATGAACTTATTTTAGTATCCAGACACTCTTACTATCATAATACTGTGACAGCATTACAGCACTGCCAAACTATGAACCACAATTATTCACAAATGATAAGTACATCATTGGAGGTAAGTGACGACTAGCACATAAGATTATTTGTCTATAATTTACAAATGTGATGGACTTATCAAAAAGAATGTGTTAAAATGTTATTTCTGTAGTTTTACTCAGGTTTCAGCAACATTTTCATTTGTTTGTTTTGGAGCATTTTGTCACTGAGGATCCCAGTTTGTCCGCCAGCAGAAACGGGCTGAGGTGGCAGTACTGAAGAAAAAAAGAAGAAGAAAGTTCACTTTCACATAAGGCTGAAAGAAATCTTCTGTTTCTAAGCTTAAACATGCAGATTTTACTTTCTTTCAAAATGAAAGCATTTTCAGCTACCTGTGTTGACTCTGAGCTGCACTCTGGTTTATCCGACATCTGGATTTCGAAATCTGGGAAGAAACGGGAACTCTGGAGGATTGCTGCCATCTCTCCATTTACCTCCACTGCCACATCTTTCTGCACAGCACAAAAAGAAAACATTCATTTTATCTTTTCAACACTGCAGATTATTTTAGATGTGAATATTCAGGATTATTGTTCACACTGTATTTGAATAGTCCATCTACATATAGTTTATAGAGTATTTGTAACATTATTTTTTATTGAGCCACAGAAATTAGACAGACAGTATATTATTGTTTCAATTCTCATTTTCATTTATATAAAAGAATAATAACAATAAATTAATTTACATTTATAGATACAAGGTGAAATAAAAAATACAGGATTATATATGAGAATGCAGTATATATAACAGTATCAAACACAAGTGATAAATAAATTATTATAAAAAGTAAAAGGATAAAATAAATGTGCATATATTAACAGGTTCCTATTATTAACATTAATAAATCAATTCAGTATTGGCCTGATTGGCCTCTGATGAGACTTTTATAATACCTTGAAAGAGTGGGAGGAATCAAAGTCCAGCTGATCTGGGAAATCTGCCACAGTTCCTTTGTAGGTCACTGTTGCCTCAGACCTGACAGGACTTTTGGGCAGCTTAAACAGGCGGTAAGTGCCTGAAGCATAGCTGATGTCACCTGCAAAATGAAAAGCCAACCTCAACTACAGAATGAAAACACTCTTCACTCTTGGTCACAACTCAGTGTCGCCCTTCTTGTACCTGCTTTTGCTTTGAGCTCACTGTTGTAGATCATGATGCGGCTCGCTGAGACGAGGTGTGGAGTGCTGAAACCTACGCTGCGGGCCAGTGAAATGAAATCGTGCCAAAACTGAGAACCACCCATTCCTTCGCCTTGGGCCCAGAAACACAGAGGTCAGTGTCAGCGATTGTTGCTTTATTACATGTACATATACTTTTTAAGGATCATGTTATCTTACCCCACAGGACTGGATCTTGCTTCATGTGATCAGGAACAACTTTGCTGGCATACATGTCACTGAAGTACAGTTCACCTCCCTCCTGTGTAAAATGAAAACCATTAACAGTATGAAACATTATTCTTCTTAATCTAGTTGGTAGATATTCTTCATACTAACCTTTAGGACCTTGTACGCTTGCTGTAGCACGGCTCTTTTATCCGGACACAAACAGACTACACAGTTGGATCTGGATGTATTAGAGAGAAAAACAGTTGTTTATCAACCCAATCAAAGCTGCTTTACAGTAACATCATGTGGAGACATATCCATACTTTAAACCTACAGCACAACATCCACTGAGTCACTCTGTATGCCAGCTTCACTGAGCTTCTCCATGTACCCCTGGACAAAAGAGACGTTGGGCTTCTCATAGCCAAACTTCTTCTGATGATATTCAACGTACTGACGAGACACTGTGATCTAAACAAATGGAAGTTAAATAAAGTAGAAAGCACAGAAATCAAGTGTCAAACAGTGTGTGCACAAGGACTTGTAATCACCAGCTCCTCCGTCATATCAATCCCTGTCACATGTCCGCTCGGTCCCACGAGTTTACTGAAGGCATAACAGTCCCTGCCAGAGCCGCTGCCCAGGTCCAGGACCCTGCAGCCCTCAAGCTTCGCTGGAAAGGGAAGACCACAGCCGAAGAATCTGGAGACAAACACTGTCAGTGACAACAGTGCACAACCACAAACCATCACTGTGCAATGATGGGAATCATACAGATGATACAGACTGAAGAAAAGTTATATATTTGAACAAAACAGTCCACTCCTGTCTCCCATGAGTACAATATGTGCAGACCTCAGTGAGACCATCTAATAACGTGCATGAGAAAGTTACTGCTGTAGATGTTTGTGCTGCAAAAAGTAAAGGTGAGACAGGAGTGCGACCCCTACCTTTTTATCACCTCTGTGCGACCCGTACCTTTTCGTTACCTCTGGGTGAACCAGGCTCAGTGCATCTGTGACACTTCTTGGCGCTGGGCAACCTGACAAACTGCAGGAGGCAGCACTTGTTTGCAAATCACAGGAGGACTCCAATCGACTGCCGTAGTACTTCTGCACACAGCAGTCAATAACACATGCTTTTAACATTTAACTGTCATTCAACAGGCTGTCATTTGTCCTCACTAACATGTATACTTTAAACATTATAATTACTAGATTTGACAGAGATTGCATTGCTCTAACTTTGTTTTTGATTGAAGGAAGGTCAGTATAACAAACGTTATCAATCAAACACGACTGTGCAACAATTGCAATGTCCGGACTGCTTCAGAAGAACTTCTCCATAAAGCTCCGGGTGGAAATAAAACTTCATGGTGTCTGATCCAAACTAAAAAAGTACCTTCACGTTTTCCCGCACGTCGTCACAAGTCGCCATCACGTCCGACAGCTTCACAGACAGCTTCAGAAAGTGGCTCCAAACTATGTGAAAAGCAACCGCTAAGTTAGATAAATGAGGAGCAATATATGGGTCAGACCTGCCCACTGTCCTCCACCAGTGCACTCCACTCTTCCGGTCGTTTTTTTCAGAATAAAAGTGGCATTGCAAATAAATTAAAAAAAAAAATCCAATATACACAATGAAAGTCATTTGTGAAACAAAAAGTAAATATGTTTGAGTTGGATGACAAATTTATTTTTTTTATTTTATTTTAATACTTCAATTATTAAAAGCTTGGAAACACAACAATGATAATTTTTAAAGACTTTTCAGTTACTTAGATTATAGCAATAATATACATCTTTTTTCTAAATTCATGGTTTCAGCTCAACAAGTAGACTGGGGGGGAAATGAAACAGTGGATACACTTACACAAAACATATAGATCAAAAGTTATTTGGCACCATTTGATTACAATTTGCTTTACAATCTGTACAGAATTCAACACCGTCTGTTTTTAGATCCTTGATTATTGTAAGGAAAAACTCCCCCAAAAACAATTTTAACAGAGAAAAATGGCCACAGAGGAGGGACCCCTCTTCAGGGATGGACAGACATGCAATATATGTTGAAGGTACAGAACAAACCAACTAAAGCAAATACACATTTTGATAACACAATTTCTGACACTCACAGATTATAAAATATATAATAGTACATTATAACATCTCCAAAGGCCCATTAAGACAGACTTGTATAGAGGTAAAGCTATTTTTATACTGTGGTAGAAAAATATAAAGTTGCTCACGTAGTACTTTGAAGCCAGTAAACACCCCCAAAATGAATGAAACAAGAAATAAAACATCTTAACAAACTGCTTGAGAGTAAATAATAATACTTTGTGTTGATAACTATATTCATGTACTAATATGTAATTTAAAATGTAATAATCATTCAGTCATTGTTTGTAATAATGTGTCACTTCTGCAACACCACAATCTTACTTATTAATCCATTTTAATTTCTGTCAGCAGATACTGTAGCATATGTTTAGATTTACTTTATACCTCTTATTATATTAAATAATTTCTTATTCTACCTTTACATACATTTATATCCTATATACTGTGTTATATATTGTAATATAAGTATTATTTCTATTATTTTACGTTACGTTGTTGAACTCCTGTACACCACCAACACTACAGGGGGCGGTAGCGGGCCGGAAACGGGATCATCCGGGTATTTGCAAAATTGCGCTCGTCCAACGCTTGCGTATGTTTCGACGTAGAGCTCTGACCCTTAAGAGGGAAGAACTACGTGCATCCGGCGTAAGTGCCGTCTGTGACTCCCAGCGGTCTGCGCTCATCGTGGGGCCGCCGTCCGTCGTTCATCGTGCGTGATGCAGTTTTATGAAGTCAAATCAACACAACAGTGAAGAGGAACAAAAGGGACGATACTGCCTTTAAAGAGAAATGTTGTGGTAGCTGAGTGAGTGTGTGGAGCACCGCAGTCTTCGACGTTAGGCAGTGACCCCGACAGTGAAGGTAGAGAGCGGGTTCTGTTACTTAACGTTCAACCGTTAGCAGCCGTTAGCAGCCGTTAGCAGCCGTTAGCGGCCGTTAGCAGCCGTTAGCAGCCGTTAGCCGCTCCGTCCACGCTCGGCCTGACGAGCAGCTAGAGTGCCAACCGTCGACCTAATGATTCACAAACTCGCTGTAAACGAGTTGTAAATAATCATTTAAATGTGTTTTATGCTGCTTACAGAGCGGGTAATGAGCTCAGTCTGTAGTTGTTCAACCTGTGCGCAGCGTTTGAGTTTGTGCCGCACAGGAAGCCATGTTGTTAAGCTAGCTGGCTAACCGCTAATTAGCGTATGTCGCCAGGTTAATGTGTAATAATTAATGTGCAATAATTATATTTTCTGTAAGGCCAAGGAACGAGTACCAGTTTGTGAAGAATTAACAGCATTTTATTCAATTTAAACTAGTTCTCTAAACATTTGCACGACTTGTAGCGTTGGTTTGTATAACTAATATATCGACAAACACATTATGATTGGCTCATCAGTTTAACATTGTGTATTAATGTGAGTGTATTTGTTTCTGCTTTGACTTGTAACCTAAATGTGTACAGTATATTTAGGATTAGTGTTGACTTTGTTTGCAGTAGTGAGGCGCTATGGCGGCTACCTTCCCCTACAGAGGGGTCCCTGCAGGGATGCCACCAGGTGTACCTCCTCCTGCACCAGTCCCAGACTACATGTCTGAGGAGAAACTGCAAGAGAAAGGTATGTAGGCGTTCACTGAAGGCAGTACGTTCATGGTGTGATTTTTAAACTTCAACTTTTATGTCACAAAGAGACGTGATTCATTTTGTCTTGATGTGTGTCCTCCAACCATACAGCGAGAAAATGGCAGCACTTGCAGGCAAAGCGCTACTCAGAAAAGAGAAAGTTTGGCTTTGTGGATGCTCAGAAGGAAGACATGCCACCTGAGCATGTCCGCAAGATCATCAGGGACCATGGAGACATGACCAATAGAAAGTTTCGTCATGACAAGAGGGTGTACCTTGGGTAAAAATAAATCCTACATTAATAAACATTTCAATAAAACAATTCACACAAACTTCTTGCACGTTAAACAGTTTTACTTGTTTACTCATTGGTGAAGAATATCGCCCCCTGCTGTTGTAGCTCATCGTGTATCCTTCTCTTCATTGAACAGTGCCCTCAAGTACATGCCCCATGCAGTGCTGAAGCTTCTGGAGAACATGCCTATGCCCTGGGAACAGATCCGAGATGTGCCCGTCCTCTACCACATCACTGGAGCCATTTCTTTTGTGAATGAAATCCCCTGGGTCATAGAGCCAGTCTACATCGCGCAGTGGGGGTAAGAGAGAGTCCTGGCGTTGGGTGATACTATTATTTTAGCATGTTTGTAGTTTATAGTACATTAGATAAATGCACATCAATTACATTGTGGTATGTACTCCTAAAGTATTTATAATCATTGGTGTCCTTTATCCTCCCAGCACCATGTGGATCATGATGCGTCGTGAGAAGCGTGACCGTCGGCACTTCAAGAGGATGCGCTTCCCACCATTTGATGATGAGGAGCCGCCGCTGGACTACGCTGACAACATCCTTGATGTGGAACCGCTGGAGGCCATCCAGATGGAGCTGGACCCCGAAGAGGATTCTTCATGTGTGGAGTGGTTCTATGAGCACCAGCCTCTTAAAGACACCACAAAGTAAGACATCACAGCACTCTAAAGACAAACTGTAAGATTTAGATGTTTACCTGATGTGTAGCTAGTAATATCAAACAATTAATTTGTGTCCTCTTTCAGGTTTGTTAACGGCACCACCTACCGCCGATGGCAGTTCACACTGCCCATGATGTCCACACTGTACCGTCTGGCCAACCAGCTGCTGACAGACCTGGTGGATTTCAATTACTTCTATCTGTTTGACCTCAAGGCCTTCTTCACTTCCAAGGCTTTAAATATGGCCATCCCCGGTGGGCCAAAGTTTGAGCCACTGGTCAGAGACATCAACCTCCAGTAAGGACCTTGTGCCTTTAATAAATGATAGACCTACAGACTTTACACTACTCATTTTAATGGAGCTTTTCTCCGTTTTGCTTTTAGAATATGTTTAAGTGGAAATCCTATTTTACCCCAAACAAAACATCAAGTAAGAATATGTGCTAGATGGTTTGTGCTTTAGCTGATTCTCCTCTTGTTTCTCCTGCAGAGATGAAGACTGGAATGAGTTCAACGACATCAACAAGATCATCATCCGACAGCCTATCAGGACAGAGTACAAAATCGCCTTCCCCTACCTGTACAACAACTTGCCGCACCACGTCCACCTGACCTGGTAAGAAGTAAACTAAATTACAAAATTTGCTATACTATATTTCACATTTGCTGTAGATACTCATGACTTTACCCCTGCAGGTATCATACACCCAATGTGGTGTTTATCAAAACAGAGGATCCAGATCTCCCAGCGTTCTACTTCGACCCGCTGATCAACCCCATTTCACACAGACATTCTGTCAAGGTAAGCGTGGCTGATTTCCAACTTCTAGATTTGGCAGATGTGAACAAAAATCTATGTAATTTCCTTCAAACAAATCACATGTGAAGTTTTGAATGACGTCCTCTTACAAAGGCGCACTTGCATTGGTCAGCTTGCCTGTGCGTAAGAACTGGAGGAATATTGAAATGAATGGTGACTCTTCTGTATGTCTGGCTGCAGCAGCAGTTGGTCCGTCACCATTCAGACATTGCTTCTAATTATTTAAAGTTTAGAGTAAATTGATTTGGGTAAAACTCATGCAGAACAGGGATTTTTCTTCTCTTTACATTTAGCTGTGTATGTACTCGCCAGCTCCCTCTTAAATTCTTACTGTAATTTTCTGCACCTGCTCAGAGCCAGGAGCCTCTGCCTGATGATGACGAGGAGTTTGAGCTTCCTGAATATGTGGAGCCCTTCCTCAAGGAGACTCCACTCTACACAGACCACACAGCCAATGGCATTGCGCTGCTGTGGGCACCGAGACCCTTCAACCTCCGGTCTGGGCGCACAAGGCGTGCTATTGATATCCCTCTGATCAAGAACTGGTGAGCAAACAACCAACATGTTTGAACAAGACTAAGTGTGTCATAATTAAGTCATTGAAAACAAGTGGTTCGGCTTTGTAGAAAGTTTACATCTGAAAGAGATAATTTTTGAGAAATTCTAAATGTCAGGTGTTAAATTATTCCACAGGTACCGCGAGCACTGCCCTGCAGGACAGCCAGTGAAAGTGCGTGTGTCATACCAGAAACTGCTGAAGTACTATGTGCTCAATGCTCTGAAACACAGGCCACCCAAGGCTCAGAAGAAGAGGTGAGCATCATTAGAAGCTTCATTTTGATGTCCTGTTAACCCTTCTTTCTAATTGAAGCCACCTTTTTCAGACATCAGTCAGTTTTTTTAATAAAGATTTTCCCTCTGTTGTCTTTCAGGTATCTGTTCCGCTCCTTCAAGGCAACCAAGTTCTTTCAGTCCACCAAGCTGGACTGGGTGGAGGTGGGTCTGCAGGTTTGCCGACAGGGCTACAACATGCTCAATCTGC